TGTCTGACATTTCAAAGATTCAACTGCGAGCTAAACTGGTAGTCCTTAGCTGTTGCCACAGTGCTCGTGGCCAGACAAAGGCCGAGGGAACTGTCGGAATTGCCCGAGCATTCTTAGGATCTGGCGCACGCTCAGTGCTGGTATCACTGTGGGCCCTGGATGACAAAGCAACAGAGCAATTAATGACACATTTCTACGATCACCTTGTCGCTGGGGAAAGTGCTGGTGAATCTCTACACGAGGCCATGAAGTGGATGAGAGGTAAGGGCTATGACGTGAACCAGTGGGCACCTTTTATACTGATTGGAGATGACGTGACATTTGATTTTGGAGAGAAAGGTAAGATTCAATGAAAACACGCATAAGTGCTTTCTAATTTTTAATAAACGGCTTTTGGCATTTACTTACAGTTTTCCGAAGATGTTATCGATCAAGCTGTATGTATTTTCGAAAGTGGGTTTAGGTTTCTATATCTATTTTTTTTTAAGTGTTTGTCGTTTGCAATTGATCTTGTGCGGCTCACGTATTGTTTGCTTTTTATGGGTTATAACTAGCTCTGTCGATCATGAGAGTGTAAACCATGAAATTACCTATAGTGTAATACAACGCAATCAAGAGGCCACAGCCATTTATCATATTATAACGAATTCGGAGGGAAATTTTAGAAAACGAGAAATCTAGGAAAGTAAGAGCAACAAGCGAGTGCCTCACATATTTCTTGAGTGTTTCAACATGCCGTTATGTTTTATGGCAGTATAATACAAGGCTTCAGATTATATACTTGGGCCAGACAGTAAAACACGGTTGTCTTGTTTTGAGCATAAAATATAATACTGAGTTAATCAGAGCGCGCCTAGCTCGGAATTTTTTTTTTAATTCAAGGAAATAAATTTAGATGATTACTCTTTTTTGCTGTTGTTTCTTTATTTACTCTGTCAGGTGTTGGCAAGAATGACCAGGACGGCAGCGAGTGATCACATGAGAAGTAAAATATGCCATGACCTCAACGGACAGTTTTACTGCTAGTACTAACCTATATATAAATTAAATTGACGTTTTAACTTCTGATATTTTTCTGTCTAAAAGGATGCATCGGGAGAGATACGCGCAACAAAACTTTTGAGTTTTATTTCATATATATTCACCTTTTTTAGGATAAACCGTTGAGTCTCTAGCAAGTTAAGTGTACAATGGTTTTTGTAGAACAGTTGGTTACAAGGTATTCCACGGCAGTCTACGTACAGGTGCGTGTTAGACTCAAATAACTGCTTAAACCTCAAGAATTGAACAAGCTTAGTACGTAAGGTAACTTTTAGTATAGGAATGAAAGATGATGATTTCAATTGTTTGGATCTTCGCTGCGAGGAAAAATA